TTGTTCTCATTATATTTATATATATATATATATGTCAGGTTAGACCATATATCAAGTTATGTTAAACCATGTATCAAGTTAGATATTTTGAATTTTGTATTGCAGTTGCTGAAAGCAACTGACCAGGGAAAACCCTGACATCCTGCAGGCTTTAACCACCTTTGAACTTCAACAAAGAAAGAAACCATGGTTATACAGTAAATTTGCCAAAGTGGAGGATTCAGTCTTTCAACTGCCATCAAGACTGGCATATAAGAGAATTATGATCAGAAAACACTTTGCTAAAACATACAATAGGCAAAACCAAACCACTAAATATAATGAAATTTTTTTCTAGTACTTGTGTATGTATGAAGTAAATAAACATGACCCTGAAGGAAAGTGCATGAATCAACTTGAGGCAATACCCATAGAAGCTACATTTAAAACTCTGAGTTTTCCTTGTAAACTTCCTAAATTCATTGAATTCGAACCATTTCAAGAAATAGGATGCCTGGTTCTTATCACAAGACAGAGGCAGCCAGAAATTTCATGAATTTAATCTCAAATACTGCCACAACATTCAAATCAATCAAACAAAAGTTGTGGTTAGTATTAAGTATAAACATAGTATTCCAAAAAAGTGAACCAAAAAAGCTTTTACATTAACTTCCCTTCCCTTTTGTTATAATTTTTAGCTTCTACTATATAATTCTGCTATTCACATTATTGAGAACTTTATAATTATTTAACAATCACAAACAAAAATGCAAGAACACAAGCCAACAAGACTCAGGTTTCAAAAGTGAAAAATAATAGGGTGTTTTGAGATTGCTTAAATAAATATGCTTAAAGCACTTGTTTCAAGTTAAACACTTACTCTACATTTGATTAAAATCTATTTTTTTCTTATTCAATTCCTAAATCTCAATAATTTAATATGTGAAATTCACAGTCATAATTCATATATTTTAAGTATAATTAAACTAATTTCACCAAATCTTCAATTCCTAATTGTGTTTTCAATTGTTAAGTAAGGAAATCATGAAAAAACCCTAACTTGAATTCGATGTAAGATTAACATGAAATTAGAGGATTAACCTGTATGATTACATGTGTGCTTGACCAAAGATGTTTATTGTAAAAAAATAAATATTTATTATTTTGTAAATCTTGAACTGCTTAAATCCAGCAAATCGCTTATAACTTGAGCAGCAAACGAGCAATCTCGGAAACTTTCTAAATACCTAAATTAAGTATAAAAACAAGTCTTGGAGCTCTATACTGAATCAAATCAATGGGGTAATTCCACTATTGTATGAATCATACCACATATGACACTGTAAATTTCGATATTCCATATAAGGGAAATTAGCATTATTAATACCAAACAACCCCATTGATTAACCAGAATTCTCTCGAACTGGGTCCTCCAAATTTCATGTTATTAGAACCAGACCAGGAATAATTACGCATGCGAGATGCTTGTGAGTAAAAAAAAAATCTGAGGAGCAAACACAGGAGCGAAATCAATAGTTATGGAAACCAGAAAATAATAAAGAATAAAGGAAACTTACACGACAGCTCCAATCACCAAAGGAAACGAGAGAAACCTACGTCGACCAAACATCTCTCTCTTTCAGGTGTCTTCAATCAAAGAGCTCTGTTATTTCCTGCTTGCAATCTCAAGGTTTTCCGGTTCTTGAACTGGATAAATGGCTGCTTTTAAGCCCAGAACACGCCCCTGTTCTGGTCGGCCCAATCGCACTCGCTGTTTTTATGGGCTTGGGTTCCGTTAAAATTTATTTATTTGTTTACCAAAAAAATTATTTGAAGTTTATTTAAAAAGTTAAAATTTTAAAATATATTTTTTGCCTTAACAAATAATTTCTTAGTTGAGATTTTAACTGGGAGTAAAGATTGATTTTTGAATTACTTAACTTTTAGAAATATAGTTTATTAATGAAAATTTATTATCATATATGTATTATCTGTATTTTAAAAATAAAATATTTAAGAAAACTATACTAAAATTACGTAAAAGCTCGAAAACATTTATTATCAAATAAAATTTTGTAAATTTTAAAATGTTTAGGTAAATGAAAATGAGCTAATTAAATATTTGATTTAATTTATTTTAAAAGGAAAAGTCAAAGTTGTGAACTAGTATGAATAGAATCAGTACTGTGTAAAACTCTAAATATCAACTAAACACAATTTGAAAAACCAACCAATAAAATAAAAGGTTTGCCAACTACTAAATTCTGTTTAACAGAGGTTGGTGGATAACTAAATTTGGCTAGAGGCTGCACACGTGTGACCGAGTTAGTTGGATTTTTTTATTTTTTTATTTTAAAATACAAAATATTTAATAACATACAACTATTTAATTTAATAATTATTACGATTAATATTAATATATTATTTAATTAATAAATATATGAATTTTTATTAAAAATTTAAAATTAATATTTTAGTTTGTGGAAGTTCAAATTTTCTAGTTACTAACTCCAATGGTTTTTTTTTTTTTTGTCCGGTCAAACAGCTTTGTTGCTCCTTTAAATCCTGTTTGGTCAAACACAAATTTTCTATTCAATTTTTAGTGCTGGAAAATTCATTGTTCATGGTGTTTGGTCCAACACCATATTTATAACATTAACTTTAGTCATGATCCAACACCCCTATAATTTTTTTTCTCTTTTTGTAATTAATTGTTAGTCGCGTAAGTTATATAAATCACTTATATTTTTAATAAATAAGGAGGTCTGCTGGATTTAAGTTTTCTTATTCTGTGTGTTTAAAGTACACAATATTTTTTACCTTGTCATCTTAATATTATGTAATAATAATATTCAAATATACAATTGATTTTTTGTTGAGTTTCGTTAAACAAGAGGTAGTAAAGTTGGAATGTAATGGTTAGTACAAAAAAGGGTTAAAATATTCTTTTGAACTATTTGAAGATGTTCAAAATTTATTTTGAAATTTTTTTTTTTTGGGTTCAAATTTCTCACTAAACACCTAAAAACATGATAAAATTTTTCTTCTTTATTAACTTTCTCTAACGGAATATGTCATCAATGACAAAACATATGAATGGAGAAGTCGTGTCGTGTTTATTTATTTATTTATTTATATTCAATTTTTTTTACTATTTTCTTTTTAATTGCTAATTCGTCTACCCTCCTCTATTCCTTGCCTTCTTTTCTAATCTTTTTTTTTTTTTTTCAATTTTGTAGGCCTTTTCTTGATTTTTTTTTAAACTCCATTAGCCCAACCTTCTTCCTCTTCCCAATCGAACCATTCGCCTTTTAAGGACAACCCATCCTTTGCCCGACTTAGAATAAGCTACCACTAGAATTGACTTTTATCCTCGTATCACATAAAACTCTTATCTTTATTTTTATTTATAACCATCTACCTCGAATGAACTCTATTTGTTGTATGGGCATT